ATTTCATCAGCTTTTTCATTTAATGGGATTCCAATATGGGATGGGATCCGGTTTAAAGTTATGTTGAGTCCTTTGCCTTTAGCGACTGCTCCAAGATACAAAATGGTGGTAATTATTTCCACTGTTTTTGTCCTAGTATTTGAAGTGCAGCTTTTGAGTCTGTGTGTATGATTGCATTTTGAGTGTTTTGTGCAGTCACATATGCGAATGCCTGTTGTATGGCTAACAGCTCAGTTTGGGTTGATGATACTGGTCCTCCCAGTCTCCAATATGCCTGTACGCTGGCCGTGCAAAGAGCAGCGCCAGCATTCTCATATTCTGTGTCCACCGATCCGTCTGTGAAGATGTGGGTGGCTCCTGCTACTGCTATGCTATACATTTGCTCTTCTATTATGCGCCTTAGGATTGTCGGATCATAGGCAGCCTTTTTCATTGGGAGACTTTCTATTACTATTTTGAAAGAAGGCTCTTCCCACGGCGCGGAAGGAGTGTAATTTGGGTGTGGATGATCACCCTCTCTATCAAGAATCATGCTTTTTAAATGTAGTCTGTTTACGACTTTTCCTGCTCTTGCAGCCCAAGAGTTTCCATTGTTTTGGCCTAGTCCAACCACCAAGGCCTGCCGTACTGGGATTGGATCAGAAGAAATAATTATCTTACTGATAATTGTAGCTGTCCTTTGTGATATTCTTTCTTGTAGAGAGGCTGGTCCACATGGGGGCTCCCAGTGCGGCTCTCATAGCATTGTTTTGGGCAACTTCAAGCTTTTTCCACTGTTGTATATGAGTGGGATTGGGTTGTTATAAATAGGAGCTGCCTCGTATGAGCCAATAGGTCTTCTGCCGTTACCTTTGTTCTTATGTTCTTACTACCACATAAAATGTACGAGTTTTTTCTATGTAAAAAAGACAACTTTTCTATGTTTTTCTCTGTTTTCTATTTTTATATTTTTTCTGTATTCACCTAATTGGACCAAAATGTGCCAAACAGCGCGGGCTATGGTGACCCCGGCTGTAGTGGACTTACCTGGCACAGGAGCGGCAATTAAGTAGCACGGGCTATGGTGAACACATACTGGACTTACCTGGCACAGGAGCATAGCTGTATCTAACTAAAGACGCACCGTTGTGTTGTTGTTGTTATAGATTCAGCTACTCGGAACAAGTTCCAAGTAGCACGGGCTATGGTGAGGCCGTAACTTACCTGGCACACGAGCGGGGCAAGTAGCACGGGCTATGGTGAGCCCGTAGTGGACTTACCTGGCACAGGAGCGGTGCTGAAAAGACGCACCGTTCTTGAGAGCTTATATTCCACGCTACGCGTTCCTGACTTGGCAAGTTGACCGTCATCTTGCTGGTTACTTCCGCTGTCCTGAGTGATTCCTGGAAATCTTTGGAAGACGTATCATTTGTAAGTAGCACACCCAGTATTATGCGAGTGTTCAGCGTAGACCCTCGTGCAATATGGTATTCTTAGGGATAACTTATTTGGAATTAACAGGAACATTTAATTCTCTGCAATAGAACTTCTGAGAATTTTGGTGAAACTACATATTACTCTTAATATAGTTGATACAGTCCCACAGGAAGACAGTAAAGCCATGGTTCAGTCCCACAGGAAGACAGTAAAGCCATGGTTCAGTACCCAACCCGTCCTCGACTCAAGTCCATTACATTCAGCGGTCGACCCCACAGACGCATTAATATATTTTAACATGCTGTTCATTCAAAACGGGAATTTTCTCAAGTATAAATTAATATTATAATATATTGGCATATTGTGTATATATAGGCATAGGATAGGTTAGGTTAGGTCTTTGGGTTCTGTTGGCGATTATTTGTATTTGTAGTACGTGAGTGAAGCATTTATAGTGTTGTGATTCGAACAAAATTCGTCAGTGAAGCACTTGTTCCGGATATGTTCGAACGTCAGCAGTTTTGAGTCGTGTGCAGCCCGTCCTCCAAACAAAGATCCAAAAGTGATTCCATGCACCCGCCAAACCCCCTGTTTATGAATGAAAAGCGGCTTACACACGACTCACAACTGCTGACGTTCGAACATATCCGGAACAAGTGCTTCACTGACGAATTTTGTTCGAATCACAACGCAATAAATGCTTCACCCACGTACTACAAATACAAATAATCGCCAACAGAACCTAAACACCTAACCTAACCTATCCTATGCTGATATATACACAATATGCTAATATATTATAATATTAATTTATACTTGCGAAAATTCCCGTTTCGAATGAACAGCATGTTAAAATTTATGAATGCGTCTGTGGGGGTCGACCGCTGGATGTAATGGACTTGAGTCGAGGACGGGTTGTTATCGTGTGTAAACCGCTTTTCATTCATAAACAGGGGGTTTGGCGGGTGCATGGAATCACTTTTGGATCTTTGTTTGGAGGACGGGCTGCAGTACCACAGGAAGACAGTAAAGCCATGGTTCAGTACCACAGGAAGACAGTAAAGCCAGGAAGACAGTAAAGCCATGGTTCAGTACCATAGGAAGACAGTAAAGCCATGGTTCAGTACCACAGGAAGACAGTAAAGCCATGGTTCAGTACCACAGGAAGACAGTGAAGCCATGGTTCAGTACCACAGGAAGACAGTAAAGTCATGGTTCAGTACCACAGGAAGACAGTAAAGCCATGGTTCAGTACCACAGGAAGACAGTAAAGCCATGGTTCAGTACCACAGGAAGACAGTAAAGCCATGGTTCAGTCCCACAGGAAGACAGTAAAGCCATGGTTCAGTACCACAGGAAGACAGTAAAGCCATGGTTCAGTCCCACAGGAAGACAGTAAAGCCATGGTTCAGTCCCACAGGAAGACAGTAAAGCCATGGTTCAGTCCCACAGGAAGACAGTAAAGCCATGGTTCAGTCCCACAGGAAGACAGTAAAGCCATGGTTCAGTACCACAGGAAGACAGTAAAGCCATGGTTCAGTCCCACAGGAAGACAGTAAAGCCATGGTTCAGTACCACAGGAAGACAGTAAAGCCATGGTTCAGTACCACAGGAAGACAGTAAAGCCATGGTTCAGTACCACAGGAAGACAGTAAAGCCATGGTTCAGTACCACAGGAAGACAGTAAAGCCATGGTTCAGTACCACAGGAAGACAGTAAAGCCATGGTTCAGTACCACAGGAAGACAGTAAAGCCAGGAAGACAGTAAAGCCATGGTTCAGTACCATAGGAAGACAGTAAAGCCATGGTTCAGTACCACAGGAAGACAGTAAAGCCAGGAAGACAGTAAAGCCAGGAAGACAGTAAAGCCATGGTTCAGTACCATAGGAAGACAGTAAAGCCATGGTTCAGTACCACAGAAAGACAGTAAAGCCATGGTTCAGTACCACAGGAAGACAGTAAAGCCATGGTTCAGTACCACAGGAAGACAGTAAAGCCATGGTTCAGTACCACAGGAAGACAGTAAAGCCATGGTTCAGTCCCACAGGAAGACAGTAAAACCATGGTTCAGTACCACAGGAAGACAGTAAAGCCATGGTTCAGTCCCACAGGAAGACAGTAAAGCCATGGTTCAGTACCACAGGAAGACAGTAAAGCCATGGTTCAGTCCTACAGGAAGACAGTAAAGCCATGGTTCAGTACCACAGGAAGACAGTAAAGCCATGGTTCAGTACCACAGGAAGACAGTAAAGCCATGGTTCAGTACCACAGGAAGACAGTAAAGCCATGGTTCAGTACCACAGGAAGACAGTAAAGCCATGGTTCAGTACCACAGGAAGACAGTAAAGCCATGGTTCAGTCCCACAGGAAGACAGTAAAGCCATGGTTCAGTCCCACAGGAAGACAGTAAAGCCATGGTTCAGTACCACAGGAAGACAGTAAAGCCATGGTTTAGTACCACAGGAAGACAGTAAAGCCATGGTTCAGTACCACAGGAAGACAGTAAAGCCATGGTTCAGTACCACAGGAAGACAGTAAAGCCATGGTTCAGTCCCACAGGAAGACAGTAAAGCCATGGTTCAGTCCCACAGGAAGACAGTAAAGCCATGGTTCAGTACCACAGGAAGACAGTAAATCCATGGTTCAGTACCACAGGAAGACAGTAAAGCCATGGTTCAGTCCCACAGGAAGACAGTAAAGCCATGGTTCAGTCCCACAGGAAGACAGTAAAGCCATGGTTCAGTACCACAGGAAGACAGTAAAGCCATGGTTCAGTACCACAGGAAGACAGTAAAGCCATGGTTCAGTCCCACAGGAAGGCAGTAAAGCCATGGTTCAGTCCCACAGGAAGACAGTAAAGCCATGGTTCAGTCCCACAGGAAGACAGTAAAGCCATGGTTCAGTCCCACAGGAAGACAGTAAAACCATGGTTCAGTACCACAGGAAGGACATGAATCATAAAGGAAGCGACCAGTTAAGAACTTCACCGACATTTCTGGGCCCCAGATGAGCGTAACAAAATTAGTTTTTCTCTCATATACTTTTATCAATAAAATATGGAGTTGTTCAAAATTTACAGTAAAGATAATTATTGTCGTGTGAGTTACTGTGGGACTTACATTGACTAATGAAATATCTGGATCACCTACAACTATATATTGTGTGATATGCTCTTTCTAGGGCCCACCACATGGACCCGTGAGCTAGTCGGTAGAGAGTTCTATACAATGAATGCATGAAGAATATTTTACATGTATTAAACAATTGAAATAACATGTAATAATCATAATAAATTATGTCATTTTCAATTTTCTTGGATAATGAACCAGTTTTACTGATAATAATAATAAAAAAATACGAATTGGCAATGTATATCCGGATTGAAGTATTACCAACACCTTCGCTACCAGCAGCTGATTAAACAACTTCATCAATTTACGAGGTTAATGCAAAATAGGAATTTGATCCAGTATAGAGTTGAAGGAAGAAGTTAGAGACAAGATTAACGTTTATTTTATGGTGAAGAAATCGTTAACTTTTTTTTAATAAATTGATAAGAGTGGAGTGGAGAGGTTTGAGGCGAGGTGGTGGTGTTGGCAGTAGTAGAGACAGGGAGGGACATGGTGGACGAGAGAGGGAATGGCATACGTCAATGTGGTGGAATGGTGCCCTGACCAAGTCTCGGAGTGGCTCAAAGGTGAGAGGGAGGAGCCACCAAGAACGTAGGAACCTGCCACAGGAGAGAACCCCCGCGGGAGGGACCCACCAAAGGCCCCAAATACCCTGAGATCCTGGGCCAGGGACAATCCTGTCTTTGTTGACATGCTGCTCCTACGCCCTTTCCTGCTGGGGGGGGGGGGTTGTGTGGTTGTGGTGTGTTGTGTGGTTGTGGTGTGGTCTGGTTGTGGTGTGGTCTGGTTGTGGACAGTGTTGTGTGGTTGTGGTGTGTCGTGTGGTTGTGGACAGTGTTGTGTGGTTGTGGTGTGGTCTGGTTGTGGACAGTGTTGTGTGGTTGTGGTGTGGTCTGGTTGTGGTGTGGTCTGGTTGTGGACAGTGTTGTGTGGTTGTGGACAGTGTTGTGTGGTTGTGGTGTGGTGTGGTTGTGGACAGTGTCGTGTGGTTGTGGTGTGGTCTGGTTGTACTCACCTAATTGTGCTTGCGGGGGTTGAGCTTTGGCTCTTTGGTCCCGCGCTTTGGCTCTTTGGTCCCGCAAAGACCAACAGTGTGGACAGTGTTGTGTGGTTGTGGTGTGGTCTGGTTGTGGACAGTGTTGTGTGGTTGTGGTGTGGTCTGTTTGTGGACAGTGTTGTGTGGTTGTGGTGTGGTCTGGTTGTGGACAGTGTTGTGTAGTTGTGGTGTGGTCTGGTTGTGGACAGTGTTGTGTGGTTGTGGTGTGTCGTGTGGTTGTGGACAGTGTCGTGTGGTTGTGGACAGTGTTGTGTGGTTGTGGACAGTGTCGTGTGGTTGTGGACAGTGTCGTGTGGTTGTGGACAGTGTCGTGTGGTTGTGGACAGTTTTGTGGTGTGTTGTGGACAGTGTCGTGTGGTGTGTCGTGTGGTTGTGGTGTGTCGTGTGGTTGTGGTGTGTCGTGTGGTTGTGGTGTGTCGTGTGGTTGTGTTGTGTTGTGGACAGTGTTGTGTGGTTGTGTTGTGTTGTGGACATTGTCGTGTGGTTGTGGTGTGTTGTGAACAGTGTCGTGTGGTTGTGGTGTGTTGTGGACAGTGTCGTGTGGTTGTGGTGTGTCGTGTGGTTGTGGTGTGTTGTGGACAGTGTCGTGTGGTTGTGGACAGTGTCGTGTGGTTGTGTTGTGTTGTGGACAGTGTCGTGTGGTTGTGTTGTGTTGTGGACAGTGTCGTGTGGTTGTGGTGTGTCGTGTGGTTGTGTTGTGTTGTGGACAGTGTCGTGTGGTTGTGGACAGTGTCGTGTGGTTGTGGGCAGTGTTGTCGTGTGGTTGTGGGCAGTGTTGTCGTGTGGTTGTGGGCAGTGTTGTCGTGTGGTTGTGGGCAGTGTTGTCGTGTGGTTGTGGGCAGTGTTGTCGTGTCGTGTGGTTGTGGGCAGTGTTGTCGTGTCGTGTGGTTGTGGGCAGTGTTGTCGTGTAGTGTGGTTGTGGGCAGTGTTGTCGTGTCGTGTGGTTGTGGGCAGTGTTGTCGTGTCGTGTGGTTGTGGGCAGTGTTGTCGTGTCGTGTGGTTGTGGACAGTGTCGTGTGGTTGTGGACAGTGTTGTCCACATTTTTGTGTCTTGATATCCAGCCTCAGAACTGGGGTCTTTGGTAGCCGGCGTGAGGGATCTGGGGCTCCCCCTACCCCCACGCGCAGACAGCGGAGTAGTGACATGGTGACGTCATGCTCGTTACCTCGTTTTTGTCTGGGGAGTTCTGTCCACTAGTTCGACTCTTAAGTAGCAATTTCTTAACCAGAATAGGGGTTTGTTTTGGGATGCTTACCTTTCTGGGTGCCTGACTCGGTCGATGGCAGACTTCCAATCACATGGGGGGGTTTCTTTAGGCCATTTTCTATAAGCCATAGGTTTCTATAGGCCCCCTTACATCTGTGAAGGGGCCAGGTTCTGGCTCATGGTTCCCAGTATGCCTAAGAACTCCATACACATGACTGATGCCAAAGTCAGACATTAGCAATATGAGCCTGGATAGCTCCGGGGAGCCTCCGAGTCTCGCCCAGAAAAATGGTGTTTCATTGCATTCAACGCTGGTTTTTTGTAAATATGTGAACAGATTGAAAAGTGTTGATGAAACTGCCATATTGCATAGATCTTATCCAATACAGCTGCAGATATTACATTGTAACAGGGGGTGATGGAAATAACTCTTTAGTCCATTATCCTGCCCCCCAGTTAACTAACGAGGACAGGGGAAACAGCTCTCTTTTGTCCATTATCCCGCCCCCAGTTAGCTATTCTAGAGTTCCCCCAGAGTTCCTACTGCAACCTCTCTAGTTGAACACCTTGTAACCTAGGTATTTGATTACCTAGGTGCTACATCCACAAGGCATTGTACCTGATCGGCTACCCGCAAATCTAGAGAACTCTAGAACATTTCACTGCCACAAACGTACAAGAGAACCGAAAGGAAAGAAATGGATAATGAAGTAATGAGTGAGGGTTTGGGGTGAGAGAGGAAGAGAGGAGGGAGGAGTAGGTGGGAGGAGTAAGGAGAGCCATCAGGTGAAAGGGAAAGGGGGGAGAGAGGCGGAGGGAGAAGAGAGGGAGTAGGAGGTAAAAGGGTAGATAGGTAGAAGTAGATAGTAGAAGTAGAAGTGCTGCCACCATCCATTCTAGTCAGTACATACAAGACAAGGAATGGAACTTGTCTGTATATCAAAGATGTTGTTAACATGTGTCAACTGGAATAATGTTCCAGGCAAGCTTCTTTTAGTCACAAATTCAAGAGTACTCTACACTCTAGGTTGCATATTGTATCCAAAAATTCCAGATCTAGGAGCAAATAAAATCAGATTACAAGAAAAGTGAATCAAGTATATATTTCTCAATAATTCATCAAGTATATATTTCTCAATAATTCATCAAGTATATTTATCAGGATAGATATCATAATTCAAGCAATCAAACTGAAGGTTCACTATTAATATAGAAAGTGAGTCATTACCCAAGAATTCGAGACCACTACAGCTGTCTGCCCCTGATGCCCCTGTCACACAACACTAGTAAACACGACTAAGTCACCTTAATGTTCATTCACCGAGGGCCGAGTCTAAGTTGAATAGAGAGGGTGGGGGGGGGGGGGATGGTCTGCAGTTAACTGGCAGAGTCACCCTCCGCCCGGCCGACAGCCTATCTTGGCTGCCGTCTTCTACCCTACTCTGCTCTGCTGCTCTCCTATTGCTTATTCCACGAATCTACAGCTCCCTCAGTATATATTGGGGACCAACTAGCTAACTCTGCCCACAAGTAGGTAGCCCCAGGCACTCTACCAAGCCACACCTGAAACTGGCGGCTTGTTTGAAGGCTATCAGGCTACAATTATCAGATTAGCAGAAGCAAGGTGAAATTCGCACGAGCTGACCTCAGATCGACTTGAGGTCATTATCGCTTAGAGGTGCGAGTTTCTTAATTTCTAGGGGCCGCCAACCTGGCGCCTCTCAAAACTTGTCTGGCTTGACTCGTGTACTATATATATATTAAATAGAACTAAACAAAACACCTTTATGGTGTTACAACATATTCATAGACATTGTGCAGCAGCTATGTGTTCTTAATTTGTTTGGATACTAGAATTGTCTCAGTTAATGTTTGGTTCATATTTACAGTAATTGAAATTATTTTAATTTGTGACATAAAGTGGGCCTTACCATTGATAATGGGATGTTTGCTCATCAGGTCTGGATGAAGCCATCTTGCCTTATATCCACTACTTTGTCAACAACCAAGTTGATGGCAAAAGGTTGCTTCAACTGAGCCCCGATGACTTGCCCTCTCTCTCTGTCACCAAGATTGGCCACCAGGAGATCATTCTTCAGGCTGTTGAGCTTTTGCGTATTATTGTGAGTACAGTATAGTTCTTCTTTTTGAGGGCTGGAGAGGCAAGGGCTGCAGTGAAACTTTTCTTAAGTTTTGAGATGATGTAATGTGAAACCTTTCAATAACCCCATTTGGGATTCGAACCCACAGCTCGGGAGCATCTGCCACCTGGACACACAAGCTTGGGGATATTGTCTCTAGTATGGAGTCACAATGATCACCACTAGCCATGATAATGTTCGTAATTTATATACACTACTTGCCAGAAAAGTTAAACTACTATGGTAGATTATGCATTTTAAAATGTATATAGGTGATGCCAAAAATCTTGGAGAGTAACAGATCAGACTGAGAAACCTTTGCCCTGAAGGTTGAGTTGTGCCAGTCGAATCATAAATGGATGAGGAAAATTGATGTAGAGTTGTAGACAAATGGCACAGTGGAAATAGGGAAGAGTATATATAAACCTGGTATATATAATGCCAAACTCATCATCAAATTTAAATATATAATTTTATTCAGTCTGGTGTTGACAACGGCTTTGATCGGCCGAAATGTTCATGTCCCTCTCCCATTTCTGTGAATTTTCCATATACAAATGATCAGTGTTTCGTGATCATCAATTGCATTTATATAATAAAGAAGTGAGATACAGTACCATAAATAAGTAATCACACAATACATTAGTTATTGGTAGTTTTCCTGCAGCATTATGATAAAGGCATCAGAGTTTCATGTTTATCACAAGAGACTTTAATTTTGTTGCAATGAACTTAGTTGGGTCATATGTTGTTAATTATAATGTGTTTTCATTGAGTTTTTGTTTTTTTTCTGATAGTAGTGTTTTTCAGCACTACCAACTAAACCAGGAGAATGTCCAGTATATGGCCCTGCGCTTGAGCTCCAAAGCACGAAGCATATACAATGAGCTACGACAGACGGCCTCCTCATTCAGGAATGGAGGAGGGAGTGCTGGGGAGGAAGAGGAGGGTGAGGATGATGAAGAAGGGGCTGAAAGGAGAAATGCCAAAAAGAGACAAGAGAGGGTGTCTACAGCCATCATTGCAGGGGTGGCTGATGTGCTCTCCTCAGTTAAGGGTCTCATGTCTTGGCTCAACAGGTAATGGGATTTGAGCGTTCTTTTCCTCTAATGTGTAGAGAGCATATTGCTCAGATTTCATACATTAATACCTACATTTTGTAAATTTTAAGTAATTGCATCTGTCCACTCATCAGGTGTCTTAGATTAGATCTGCCTAACTTTATACAGTATTTTAATTATTTCCAGTATTCATGGGGGTGGATTGATTAACTGTAGGTGGCTGTTAAAATGTTGACATTATCTAAATCAACAACACTGGCAGAAGGTATAAATTTTCACAAAATTCTGCTTACACTGTTGTTCTTGATACATGCCAGGCTCATGACATTTATCAAGCAGAAAGTTCATGACATTTCTCTCAGATCTTCACTTCATGAATACTGCAATATACTCTACAGTGGTTCCAAATCAAGGTCAACACATGCAAAAATAACCCATATCATTCATAAATACTGTGTACTTACATTTTTAAGCTCCGTTCATTTTTAACATCTTTGTTTCATCCAGAAACTCTTCTCAGAGGGACTGGCCACAACAGAAAATGTTTATTGCATTCCTATCTAAACATAAATCATCTAACCTCTTCTATTCCCTGTATACTCTTGGGCCTTTCATTTTTTGCCTTTTACACACTTCTCTCTTGGTTTACATCTTCATGCTAAAGTGATTTTGTTGGGGCACTTAACTGGGGAGTAAAGTGCCGGCTCCCCAGTGCCGGCCGACCGGCACTGGGGAGCCGGTCGGCCGAGTGGACAGCATGCTGGACTTATGATCCAGTGGTCCCGGGTTCGATTCCAGGCGCCTGCGAGAAACAATGGGCAAAGTTTCTTTCGCCCTATACCCCTGTTACCTAGCAGTAAAATAGGTACCTGGGTGTTAGTCAGCTGTCACGGGCTGCTTCCTGGGGGTGGAGGCCTGGTCGACGACCGGGCCGCGGGGACACTAAAGCCCCGAAATCATCTCAAGATAACCTCAAGATAACTGCCTTCACCTATGCTATTTGACATAATAAACAAGTTTAGTGATACATATGTAGCCTTAAAAATACTAAATTGCACCAACAGATTGTCCCATGTCACAATTATTATAATACCTGTATTAGAAAATAATAATATACTGTATAACAGAATTTTTTTTAATGTAGTGACACTTCGGCTTATGAATGCCCCTACAGAACAACCTCGATTCAACGTACCCCGATTCAACGAATCTCCGGCTAGTTCGTTCACTTTTCAGGCCGGATTTACTCGCCCAGTTTGACAAACAATGGTTTGCCGAAGCGAGGGATGTTCGGATTTGCTTACGATGTCGAGACAGAGTTCACAGTCTGGTGGAAAACTTTCCCATTCTATCACAGATTACAATTAATAATTGGCTCACATGACAAGTTCGATCACACAAGTGGACCGCACAAGTGGACCACACAAGTGGACCACACAAGTGGACCACACAAGTGGACCACACAAGTGGACCACACAAGTGGACCACACAAGTGGACCACACAAGTGGACCACACAAGTGGACCACACAAGTGGACCACAAGCGGTCCACAAGCTTACGATGTTGGGACAGTTTACAGAGTGGGGGAAAACTGTCTCATTCTATCACAGATTACAGTTAATAATTCCTTCATGACACAAGTTGGATCACACAAGTGGATCACACAACAAGTGAACCATATGAACCAAACACCAGCCAGAATGGTCCACACAACAAGTGAACCATATGAACCACACACCAGCCAGAATGGTCCACACAACAAGTGAACCATATGAACCACACACCAGCCAGAGTGGTCCACACAACAAGTGAACCATATGAACCAAACACCAGCCAGAATGGTCCACACAAGTGAATGACTGAGTTTCAATGATTTTCATTCACTGATTTGTGGCACATGTATCTTTGTAAATTAATTTAAAGGCTGAAGCGTAAATAGCTAGAATGTGTTGAAATCTTCTTATATACATTTTCTGTGATGAAACAAGATGAGTGAGGGTGGACAGATAAGGGAATACTGTACTGTAAACTTCACTTTACAGTGAGGTTTCACTTGCTTTCGTCTGTGTCGTCATAGTTCAGTGACCCATGACTATGAACGTTTCAGATTAATAAATAATTTCTAAAACTGGTGTTTTAATAACTTTATTATCCTAATTAAACTAAACTAAATAAAACCAAAAATTTACTGTAATATGATAGATATCTGCTATTTGAGAAATTATTCATGTTTATTGGTGGCTCACAAGTCCAGCGCAAGTGGACAGGTCTAATCAGTGTGCACACAAAACCATGCGTGTTTTATTCAATTCGTCACCACAGTTCAGTGACCTATGGCTTTGAAATAATAAAATTACTAAATCAGTTCTAAAATAAGTATTTTTATAGCTCTTATTATCGTAATAATATTGCTAAACTAAATATATAACCCAAAAAAATATAACTTGATGTAAATCGAATATTTGAAAGAAATTTATGTTACTGGATCTGGCTTAAACATCAGCCTACTGTAGGGTGTACGTATAGACCTAGTCTGCATTCGTACAGTATGCACCCAGTGCCCTTGGCTTTGTCTGTGATTGACGTACAGTATTTAACTGCTGTGGAAGAATAATCGTGGAATTTACCATTCTTTGACTACAGCTGTATTTTATACAAAAAAATGTTTCGGGGGCCTACTAATAGTGCCTTATTAATGCCAAAAATGAAGCAATATTTTGCAAGAACTAGTAGCAGAAAATCAACCAGCACAAGCACAGCCGTACCCAGCATGAGAACAGCAGTACCCAGCACGATCACAGCTGTTCCCAGCACTGGTACAACAGCAGCCAGCACCAGCGCAAAAGCAGCTGAAGCCACAGCAGCAGCGAGCACCAGCAAAGCTGATGCAAACATTTAAAAACATCGTGTGTGGTGTGAACAGTTATAGAACAAGTGTTAAATTTAAGTGTGTGTGTACATAGTGTTCAAATTAAAGTTGCTGTAATTTTAGTGTACAATAGTTTTCATAAATTGTATTGTAGTACTCAACATACAGCAGAACTACTTAATCAACACAGTGTTAACGGTATAATATACTACAGTACGTATTTACTGTACATCATTCACAACGCGATGAGACTTCAAGATGGATATAACTCCTACAATAAGGTAAATAACAAATGTAACAGTATTTTCTGGGGGGAGCCCTGTCGACTCCCCGGAGCTATCCAGGCTGAATGGATATGTATAACTTTCTGGCATCAGTCAAAGTGCTAGGAGTTCTTGCCTACCGGGGACTACGAGCCAGAACCTGGCCCCCTCAGAGAGGCACGAGAAGCAATGGCCTATAGAAACCCTCTTGTGGTTGGGAGCAGTCTGTGTCTGCCATCGACTGGGATAGGTACCCAGAAAGATAGGCGCCCCAAAACAAACCCCTATTCTGGTGAAAGCATTTGTCTGGCCCCAGTGATTGTTTCAACACTGTGCCTTGTGTGTGGTGTCTGTCTTCTAGGGGGTGCACGAGCCAGGAGTGATTCTTCAGTACTCGAGCTGTATGAGCCTAGGGCTCCCTTCCCTAGGAGCCCTGTAAGTACTGCCCTTAAGGCTTGAGGCCACCTTCCACAAGTTCCTTGGTCTGTTTCTGCTAGGCCGTTTACTGCTCGGTTTTTGGCCACCCTTTGTGTGCTGGGGTGTTTTGTCCCCCCTTGTTTACCTTAGGGTAAGGAGCAGTTTGCACTGGTAGGGGGAGCAGGGTATTGCGCAGCTTGTTTTCACCATTCAAAGCAGCCGGCTCTGTTCCGCCTGGGTACGCTGTCCTCTTGCGAGGTTTTCTTTTTCTTTTTGTTTTCCTGCCTGGTGGGGGAGCCTGCCTTGGTTGCCCCTTGAGTACAGTTGCTGGGTACTAAATTCTCTTCAGGTGGTACCAGCTGCTAGGTCCCCGTGAGTGTACACGTCCTGGGGGTTCATCTCTTAGTGTGTCGTTCGGTAGTTTGGGTGCCGGTTAGCAGTACCCTGCGTGAGCTTCCCTGAGCGTGAGTTCCATCTCGGGACCCTGGGAATCCCCACGGGGGTGTGCGGATCTGATGGATGTGACCCTTGAGTCCCTCCCTCGCTTTGTGCGAGTTCGAGCGTTGCTCTGTCCCCCCTTGTCTCAGGGTGACTCGCACTGTTTTTGCCTCCATCTGCTGCCTGTTGGTTCGGTGGCACCTTCGACCCGGAGTCCTGCGAGTTTTGTTGCTTGTTTGTGACTCGGTTACCCAGTCTTATGCTGACTATGAAGGTGCAGGCAGCATGGGCATTGCACGTTGGGTTCAGGTGGTTGCAACGGGCTAGGTTGTCATCCTCGATCCTCGACGGATGTTAATCTTGTCTCCCCTTCCTCCCTGCATACGGATCCTCGCCGTCTGTGGGTTCGGGGTCGGGCGGGGATTCGATGGTCTTGAAACTCAGGCGGTCTCGGGAATTTTCCCTTCCGGGGGTAGCAAAGGAGACATTCGAGCCTGTTCCTCTAGCCGTGTTGTATGAGTCTGCCAGTGGGCTCCCTTCCTTAGTGTATTTATCTGACTACCCTGGCTTTTTCTTGTGAGGCTGGGGCTTTGGGGGACAGCTCGGCCCTGGGACTGGTGAAGGGCCGACTTGGGGGGCCTCGGGCTCCGTTGGACACCGCTGGGGTTTTTCTACCCTCTGTGCGGGGCTTGTGGTTATGGGGAGTGGGGGTTTTCCTTTCCTCCCTCTGTGTACGCGTTGTTGGGAGTCGGCCTCTCCTTGGGTTCGGTTCCTTGTCCCTTCGGGTCCATCGGTTCCGTCCTATTGGTAGGTACTCTTCTCCATTTTCTCACCCTTCTAATTTGGGATGGGACTTCTCCGTCATGTTGGGGTCATGTTCCCCTCGTATCGAGGTTCTGCATGACCATTGGTCTCGGGTGCAACTGTGCCTATGAGCCTTCGCGATTTTGTGCTTGCTTCTGTCGGATCTCGAAGGTTCTGGAAGGTCTTTGATTCTTCCCGTATTATTGGAACGTCTGTCATCTTCCGGT